ACTCTGAGCTCCTCTAGGGCCCGCGAGCCAGGCTGCTGCCGGCAACCCTGCGATATTGTTGTCCATTTTATTATTCTTTTCTGTCTATTTTTCCTTTTGATCCATCTTTAGTGTCTCTCTCATTTCATGGTGGTATTTAGTACAATACAAACAGGTACGTTTTAAGATTTTTTTTAAGTTCTCTTCCTGTAAATGACCCGCTTCATTTCTAGGTAGCTGTGCTTTGGTTGCCAGAGTTAAGTTTGCTTTTGTAATGTCTTTTTGTTATAGGAGATGTGATTTGTAGGGTTTGATCTCCAGGACATTAATTTGTCAGCCCTGTACTTGTGAATATTTATGCTATATTAATTATTACATTCTGGAAATGTTGCAGGGGTGCTTGTGTTTGAAGACAGGCCTCTATCTTTTAGTTACACAAAAATATAGTCTGTCCCCTTCCATTAAATTGCAATACATTTATGTCAGGCAGAGCTCATTTCCTTCTGCTGGAACAAAGGGCACTTCTGAGTTGCTTGAAGTGATGGCTCCTAGGTGCCTGGGAAAATCATTGTTGGGCCTGACTGTGGCAGCTGAAACCCAAGTTCTTCTGGTGTCATTTGGTAGTTTCCAGGAACTCTTGTAGCTGGGAGGTATTTTATGGCAAGCACTTTATCTTAGATTATAATTGACCATGCAAAAGTACTCCCAGCAACCAATGTAATTCAGACTTTGCTAGTATAATTTAGATCTCTATTTTCTATTTACAGAGGGAGGCTTGGGTGGAGTGCTGTGTACATAGCATCAGAAAAACATTCTACTCAGGCTTCAGACTGAGTCCTTACATGTACAGTATTTGTATAGACCTACTGTTTAGTAACCATAAACATGCCTGGAAATTCTCCACATCCAAGGTCTGCATTAGAAATCAATGACTACTCCAGCTGGTGTCTTTGCAGACAGACTATAATGACCCAATGGGCTTTAGTGCATGCCTTAAATATTCACTGACATTTTCTATTTTTAAATGACAATCAATGAACATGACATAACTGAAATTAGCCCATGATTGAGTGAACGCTCACTGAACAATTGTAATCTGTTTTCAGGATAATGGATCAGTTCAGATACTGAAAGCTCCTTATCTACCTATTAATATTTGATAATGCATGACTAATTTGAGAATTTTTAGTAGAACTAGGTGGGTAATGAAATACTGTGGGAACTCATTGTAAGCAACAGGGATACCTGAGACACCTGATACAGAGGGATGCATGGACGTAAGGTTCAAATTTCCTAACTTGGTATCTCCAGAATTACATCCTTGGGTAATAGTAAGCACAGATGCATGATTGTGCTGTCCATTGATGCAATGAAAGTGAACCAAACATATTGTATTCAGCCACATGTCCTAATCCTTACCTCCCAGACAAATTGATTTTCCTTTTATGGAAATGCTGATTTTAATAGGAGTGCTGCCTGGAGTAAAAGCTTCATGCAACGGTGTAAGAAAGAGTGGGTGAGTGGACCATGAGCCTCAGGTGTTGCATTAGTGGTAGGGGATGCTGGAATGGAGTTGGGGGAACACCTCACCCTCCCATTTCATCCCTCCCTCTCCTCCACTGCACCCTGCCTCTTCCTTGCAGTGCTTTCCACTCTATTTCTGGCCCTGGCAGGTGGGAGAGCAGAGCAGTAGCAGTGGCTCATTGTGTAGGAACAGTTGCCAGAGGTTTGCTACGGTTGGGAGGTGATATTGCTTCCTTTTCTGCTGTTGAAGATTAGAGTTTAAACAGCTGACGTGGCAGCAGCAAATAAAAGGAGGTGACATCCACCCACTCCACTGTAGCAAACCACTGGTTGCTGCTCCTGCACCGTGAGTTGCCACTGTCCAAGGCACAGTACAGGCCAGTTAAGCCTCTGGCTGCATGATTAGGCCCAGAGACACCACCAAATTTTCAGAAATAACAGAATTAAGTTTTCCTTTCTCAGCTGCATAGAAGCTGGCACAACTTACTAGCAACAATGGGGAGTGCTAGTCCTCAGTATGGGACAGCGACTACCTGCTACAGGAAGTCAATGGGAGCTTTGCCTGAGTAAGAACAGAAGGGTCAGGCCCCAAGGAAGATTAAAACTTGCCAAATCTGATGCTTTCAGAAAGTAAAATAAATATGAGCAAAAGTAACTAATAATGGAATTCATATGATTATAAACTTATTATGGATTCATAGGATTATCATAGGTTCCCAAATGACAGGGTGATATACAAAGCAGAACACACAATATCAGATTGGAAATGATATGCCTCTGACTTGGCTTCTGCACCTGAATATTCAGGGATCAAGCTATGGTTTTGATGTCAGGTGGATGATAGCTGTTATGCAAAAGAGGTTAGAGGACAGCTGGTAGTCTGATGTTAGGAAAAGTCTGTAGTCTGACAGCACAACTGTTATCATCAGTTTACTTTTACTTTCATCATGGTTGTGCCTAGCAGCTACAGTGAAGGTCCAGGCCCTGTAGCATTATGGGTTGCTCAACACAGCCCCCACTCCAAAAAGCCTGCAGTCTGAATAGGCAATGGGTGAAAGCAGAAGCAGAGGTACAGAGAGGTGAAGTGACTTTAGTAGCTTAACTAGGGCAGGGTGAGGAGGGCACCAGTCCCAGGCACTGATTATGATGACATACTCTATGACCTTCTCCCCCCAGGAGTCCTTGCTGTGGCAGGGACATCCTTCCACAGCCTCATGCTCTTCCTGGGGAGTGGGGTGAACAAGGCATAGTCCTCATGGAGCCCACACCTCTATCTGTGCCTCAGTGGCAGCAGTGTATGCTCATGCTTCTTATGGTTGTTCAAGTGAAGAGAGTGGAGAGCCGCACCAGGTAAGAATCCTCTCCCTCTCCCCTCCGTCCCTGCCCCCTTTCACACTGGTCAGCATATCCCCCCACCACTGCCTTGGGTACTGAAAAAGCTTGTTATGACTTGCCTCAAGTCATGCAATAGTCCAAAGGCCAGCCATTTAGCCTGGTAACCCAGCAAGGTTAGTTGTGATCATAGAGTTAGTGAGTTCTACATGTGAAATCCGAGTTCCAGGATCCACGTGGTGAACGCTTTCTAACAACAGCACCTGATTACAAAGCAGGGATTTGCTGACTGTACCCTAAGTGAAAACCACTCTACAATTGAGCTACTTGTACAGAATTCCTCTGCTCTGACTGTCCAAGACCACTCTTGGTCAGCACAGGCATGTTGCTCACACAGGAACCACATGCAATCCATGGATGCTTAGCTGAAGAGCTGGTACTGAGACTTCCACTGTGGTGTAGGCAAGTTACCTAGATTTGTCAGGGGAACATTATCCCCAGTGTTACGGCATTTAACTTCTAGGTATCTTGCTACCTTGGAGAATTTACTCTCTTCAGTTTATGTCCCTGGGTTCCTTAAACACATGGGGAGAGTGAGGTGCCTCAGAACAGGATCCAGAGAATCCTGTACACTGAGGAGGGAGCTGCTTCACCTGGGCACTAAGAAATATGGAGGAGAGGGCAAGGGCTTAAGCTCCACCTCTGCAAAGGAGTAGGAAACCTGGGTTTAAGTTCCCTTTGTTTGATCTGGAACAGCAACTTAAGTCACCTGCCTTTTAGGAGAGGGTAACAGTGATCTGTAGCATATTCCAAGGTGAGTGTTTCCTGCTGAAGCTGTTCCTCTTTGCAGACATAATTACATACTCGGTGGAGCAGGGACAGAAACCTGACCCTTCCACTCATGTGCTGCAGCCATTAGGATTGGGCCACTGAAAGTGAGAGCCAGTCTTTCACTCTCAGTGGCCCAATGAATATTTAATAATGTATGTGGAGTGAATCAGCTTCAACAGGAGAGATGGAGACAAGCACAAACCAGGTATGTTCTTGAAAGTGGGAGATCTTGGTTTAAGATCCTGCTTTAAATCAAGCAGAGAGGAGACTTGAGCCTGAATCTCCCGAGTCCAGGAGGAGAGCCCTAAACACTGGCCTACTGGGAAAAGGTCCCCACCTTCTTAATTTTGGACAAGTTAAGCATGCTCTGAAGGTCTGGATTGGTGACCCCCCGGTGAGATAGGTGGAGGGAACATCTCTCAATTTGGCTGGGGCTTAAGCATGAAACAGGCTTCAAATGGCGTAAGCTTCCCAATTTTAGGATGGTCCTATCCATGTAAAATGAAAGATAGCTGATATCATATAGAAACAAGGTTAAGAGGAGCCAGTCATGATTCTCTCTATAGTGGCTTTCAGGATGCTTTGCTAGTAGGTCAGATTCTGAGGATGCCAGTTTCCCAGAACTCATTCCCAGAAGTACCAACCCCACAGCTGTTATTTTGCAGACTGAAATTGCCTTATTTTTTGAGGGGGCAGGCAGAATTATTTTAATCTAAGATTTGCTACTGCAGGATGGGCATCACCATCTTTGGAAGCAGCCAGTTTCCCTCATCAGAGTTGCCCAGTTCTGTAGAAAGGCAATTTTGACCAGTCCACAGTGGTGCTGAAAGGGTTCCTCCATCCTTTCTTTCCAACCAAAACCAAGAAAAGTAAAGACTATTTCAAATGGAAAATAAGAAAAAACACGAAAAGAAAATGAAAACACTGCTCTGAAACAATGTGGAAAAATAACCAATGGGTTTAAGGAGGAAATAAGAGAGACATATCAACAATCATGGCTAAGTCTATTTATATTCACTCCCCCCCCAAACACAAAGACTTAAACTTTGTGAATAAATACAATTAGTCATCAGCTACTGGAGGCAGGAAATGTAACTGAATGACTCAGCACTATACCCAGTTCTGTCCCTGGAAAGGTCAAGTGGCTGGAGTTCCACATGTTCTTAACCATTACTGTGGGCATGAGGTTGCAACACCTCCAGCAGCTACAGTATCTCCACCGCATGGAGTATGTGATTCCACTTTACTCCAGAAAATATTGCATTATGAAGCTATGGGAATTCTCACTGAGTGAGGCCTTTGTATAGTTGTCCATGGGAAACTCTCCAGATTCCTCTCTGATTCTGCTACATCTTGGACTGCTAGTAACCAAGGAGGAAGAAGCAAAGTTCACTTCTCAGTGCTAATAATCAACTGATTACATTGGAGATTGGATGCAACCAAAAACTGAAGGGTACACAGTTAGTACTGGTTATTCTAACCACAGGGTTCTAATGAAAGTAAGTTACCTTTTTATAGCACCTTTATTCCCAAAGCATTTTGTACTTCATGTTTATGTACAGTGGATTATTGTACATTTAATGATCACTCACTCATCACTAAAATGTAGCCAGCTTTAGGCTGAAGTATGGCATCTATTCTGCTTCAAATGACTGTGTAGTGTTTTGTAGGAGAAAGAATTAAGAATTTTTCCAGACAAAACTACAGGGAGAATGCAGGTAGGCAGAATGCAATACTTGGAGTTATAGTTTGGCTAAGGAAATAGGTAAAATGCTTGATCCTTTGTGAAAAGATGTTTTAATAGTTAGATATGTCTAGGACTCCATGTCTGTCTAGAAGAGAGCACATTTCCAGTCTGAAGTAGACATCCTGTTACTGATTTTTCCTGTTAGCAAAGCTCATGTTTTATTTTTCTGTTTGTTTGAAAACACTAAAAAGAAAGAAAGAAAACCTACAATAGCTTGATTTCTGGAGCTTTATGTTACTGATTTTTGCTGTTCTAAAAGGTAGTTCCTGATAAAATCTGAACATCACAGCTAGGGACAGACATTCAAAAAGCCTGAACCTGAATTGATTCAGTCTTTGCAGATTAGTCTAACCTGGCTAGGCTGAACTGGTTTGTAACTGCACAGACATTCTCTCTGGACTGAGGAAATTCAGGCACATTCCTGCAGTGGTTCATGCTAAAAGCCGGGGAGCGCTACAGCATCCCTCCCTTCCCTTGCACCACACTGAGCTGGGGGGGGGGTGGGCATGGCCAGGTCCCGGCAGGACCTCTCATTAGGGAGGTCTGCCTGCACAGTCCCAGGCTTTTCCCCGCTGGCTGCTCGAGGGGCAGGAGTGTTGCCAGCCTAAGGCCCCTGGTAGCACTCTGAGGCAAGAGGAAGTGTGCAGTGCATGCGTCTGTTGATGATACGGAGCTTTTCAATCTCCTTCTCTCTGCTTCTTTATACTGTCTGCAGCAAACTGACAGGGGAGTAAGCCAACAGGGGGATGGTAACAGTGATTATCAATTTATCAGCAAAACAATAGGGTCTCTCCAGTACTTCAAACTCTTCTTAAACAGCTTACCGGCTGACCTGTTGATTACCTCCAAATAGCCCTAAG